AGGGCCGGGGCGGCTGACGGCGCTGTGTCCTGCAGGACTCGGGTGCCCGGGTGGCCATCAAGTCCTGCCGGCTGGAGCTCAGCGTCAAGAACAAGGACCGGTGGTGCCACGAGATTGACATCATGAAGAAGTGAGTGCGGACTGGGCAGCCGTGAATCAGCCCGGGGTGAGGGGACGGGCAGCCCCGGGCTCTGCGCCGGCCCGCTCAGGGGCTGCTTGTCACCTGGTGGCTTTGTGCTGGTTCATCTGTCGTCCCGAGGTGGCCAGGCACTTCTGCTCCCGTGTACTAGCTCGCGCCTTGGCTTGGGACCTAGTGGCGTCCAAACCGCCTGCACTCTCCTGTTTCTGGGCTGTTTGCCTGTTCTAAATTCCTCCAGACTCACACCACGGGATGAGTTGGGTTTTAATGTGGTGACATGAGAACACCCACGTGTTCCCATATATTCCATCCCAGTGTGTTCGTCTTTGATCTAGCAGCTGGGGATCTAGGAGTTGCTTTTTTTCTGTCACGCTTCCACTTGTAGAGAAAAATGTCTCCTAATACTTTCTTGTGAGAAACTACATTCTGTATGCTGCCCACTGTCCCATTCTCTGACATGTCACTCTGAGGTGCGTCTGAACAAGAGCTGGCCCAGTTTGGCCTCATGCCTGTGAGCAGTAGCTCTAGGTTTCTGGGTCTCATACAGTTGATCCCTCGTCCTGACAACTCCTTCTCTTTTTCAAGAGAGATTCAGGAGCATTAAATGCTCTGTACCACTGGTGGGAGCAGGGATGCTGCTCAGTTTTGTTTTGAGTTGTCCTCATGAAGGCCTGCATATAACTTCACTGAGCTCCTGCTCTGCCACCTTGTTACCTGCACACTGTATGCACTAACTTTGGAGGAAACCACTTGTAGACATCCTCAGTTGTAAGTCAGGGCTTGGTGGTCACTGTTTCTGTTAGCATTTGCACCATATTTGTTTTCTGAATAAAAAGCACTGAGCTGTGCAGTTACAGCTGCTCTTGTGGTGACTTCCAGAGGCACAGAAGACACAGAAATAATTTGTTTTCACTTCTTTCTGGATGTGTCATTTATTCCCGAGAGTAATATATGTTAGAGAAGAACAGGCAGCGGCTGTTTGAAGTCAGTTGCAGAAATTAGTCCTTCCCTCACGTATGTGGATTTCACTTGCCTGGTTCTACCTCCCTAGTACAGTTACGTGTGTTAATGGATTCCTGTGAAACCCTTGGGCCAGGGGGAAACTTCCTCACATACAGAAACAGACACGTATGTAAGAGCTTTGCCAGGCATGTGCAGGAGTCCACTACCTGAGCCTGGATCCCCATCATCAAAGTCCTGTACCTTGACTTTGAGGTGTCGTTTCTGGTCATCACTGGTTTGCGTATTCCTGAGGTATGGATTTTATGCGTTTGGATACTGGTAGGTATGCGTTCAAGAGTGTACTTCTCAGCAAGGATGCGTGTGGGGAACAGAAATTGTACCTGAAACATAAATGGGGTTAGTTGACAGTCGGTTGTCTTGGTCTCACAAAAGAGGAATCAGTTTTCATCCAGCTTTCCATGTGCCCAGGTTGAACCATCCCAATGTAGTAAAAGCCTGTGAAGTTCCTGAGGAGATGAACTTCCTGGTTAACGACGTTCCTCTTCTGGCAATGGAATATTGCTCGGGGGGTGATCTTCGGAAGGTAATGTTTGCTTTGCAATAAGTAGCAAAATATCTGGCATTAATGCTGTTTCTGTAACTGTGGGTGTCTCTGAAGACATTTCTGTTCTGTGGCGCTTTTCTTTTTAGGTACAGGCATGGGGAAATTAAAGTGGAAAAAAAAATGTGTGGGAAATGAAGCTCGTGTTTTTGAAACCAGAGGACAAAGAGCAGTGCAAGGGCAGATACTCCCTTACCCTGGAGCAGCGTGTCCTCTCATGGAACTGCTTTAGCCTTAATGCAACTTCCTGTGGCCCAGCTACTCACACGCAGCATGTTTAGTTACGCTGCAGTGTGTTGCCTGAAATTTGGTGTGGCTTTGATTCACGTGTATCCAGTGTTGTATTGCGCTCAGCACAGGGAACTTTCAGTATTGGACTGGGGCCTCCAGGACTTCAGAGACTTTCCTGTTTTCCTGCTGAACGGGGAACTGCCCTTCTGCAAAGCAGCTACACCCAAGAGTACAGGAACCTTTCAGAAGTTCCCCAGGCAGCAGCTGCGTGGCCCAGTAGAGTTTATTTTCTGTTTCCATTGCAGCTGGCTTCAGGAAGCTGCCGTTTGTAGAGACGTGAAGACGCAAATCCCTGTTGATGAAGATTTTCTTAGAAATTACCTCCTCTAAATGATCTGGAAGCTCATTTTTCTGTTGATTTTGTTCCTGGTGTTAAATAGCACTGGAGGAGCGTGAGCAGACGTTGAATGCAAGAACTGTATATCAGCAATAGCAGCTACTGTCTTGATAATTTACTGAGCCTTGTGTTTTTGAGTTGTTTAAAACAGTAGGGACGATTTTAAGAGAGAACATTGTCAATGAAAGGAGTGGGTGTTACATGGAAACAGCATTTGGATGTTGCAAACATGTGCAGCTGACCGTGTTCTCGCTGACGCTTGCGTGTTGTATTTTTGCAGTAAAAGTTTTGAGGCTATGTGAAGGTAAATTGGAGACTCTGGCAAAGAAACTTGGGGTTATGTTAGAGCTACTTGTAATGCAGTATTCGATAATTTAATTTCTCATTAATCCTTAGATGTTGCATAGATCCTGGAACAATTTAGGCAGTAACATGCTTCACTTCATTTGATCGTTTATAATGCTTTGTTTCTTAAAAGAAAAAAGAGATGCATGTGTTTTTCTGATCCTGCTCTTCTCTAAATCTTTCTCTTGCATTCGCTTGGCATCATTTGTGTTTTGCACCACTATTAATTTCTCACTGCACATCTGAAGTCTTCCATAAAGCTTGGAAAGGCATCTACTTCTGTGGGTCATGCAAATCTTCATGCTTGTGATCTATCAGGGTGTTGTGGGCTCTGAGCTTTGATTTTTGGCTTTGTCCCTCTCGTCCTTTGTTGATCAGTGCATCTACCCAGAACTTAAGGAGAGAGATGTTGAAGTTTGGCTTCTTCCCCATAAAGCTTTGACTACTGTTTTGGGCATGAAGTGTGGGAGGAAGGCACAAATGTGAGGCTAGATCATGGGAGGAGTAGCTGCAGTGCAGAGCAGAGGCGTACCTCTTGTCATCAAGAAAAGCATTCCATGTAATAAAAATCGGATTACGTGTTGATAGGCTCAGGGTGTATGCAGGGAAACTGCTGAAGCTACTTACTGATGGATCGTTAGGTCAGTAATTACAAAGGGGTTTTCTGTGGTGCTTCTACACTGGAGAACATGGTCTTTGCTGGTTTTGGGGTGCCTGACGTGGGGCAGGTGCCTGGTACTGTGCCTTGAACAGTACAGGGCTCAGGCAGCATTATGGGAGTGGGGGCTGACTCCCCACTGCAGAGTGTTTGGCAGGCTCTTGCAGTGGTGGCTGATACCTGGGTGGCTTTTCTGGAGTGTGGGGTATTGCTTGTTTGTGGCACGCAGAGAAAACTGAGTCCCTGGCCACCTTGTTCAGATTAAAGCATCAGTCTGGCACAGCTGGGCTGTTGGGGAGCTGTGTGTGCAGTGATCTTCTCTTCTGTGGTTTTCACTGAAGCAGGAGTTAACCTGTTGGTTTCCCTTCTCATCTTTGTATCAGTGACCCACATCTGAACACCCAGAGCTTAGATGCATGCCTGTTCCTTTTGCTTTTTGTCACTCGGTTTACCTTCCTTGCGGGGAAGGTGTTACTCCAAGCAGCAGTTCTGCTTCAGATGTTCCCAAATCCCATCAAGCCAAACTTCAGCAGATGAAGAACAAGCAGATTCTGGAGCCTGAGGATTTCCATTGCCAGCAGCCGTACAGCCCTGACTGCATCTCTTGCACCTTTACTTTCTGATGGTTTTCATGCTTTTGTGGTATTATTCTGGCAGTCCAAATCTTCTTTTCAACCCCATCTTTGGCAATGAAATTTCATTTTGTCAGAGCTGTTTTCTTTTTCCTTCATGTTTTTATTTCACAAAGTAAATTACCTTGTTCAACTAGAGTTAGCTTTGAGCTGTGCTGTTTCCAGTGTTGTGTCAGCAGAGGATGGAGAATGTTGTTCTTGACTGTTAAGTGTTGCACAGTGGGTCTGAACATCTTTTTTCTCTACTGTAGTTGCTGAACAAACCGGAAAACTGCTGCGGACTTAAGGAAAGTCAAATACTTTATCTGCTTAGCGATATCGGTACGTAGTTGGGGTTTGTCTGGGTTTTCTTTATTGTGTGTAATGGAACTTGGCATCTTGTCCCTTGTCCTGTTACTTGGCATCACTGATAAGAGACTGGCCCCATCCTCTTGGCACTTGCCTTTCAGGTATTGATCAGATCCCCTCTCAGCCTTCTCTTCTCCAAGCTAGACAACCAGCCCCAGGTCTCCTAGCCTCTCCTCATCGCAGAGGTGTTCCAGTTTCTTAATCATCCTTGTAGCCTCTGCTGGACTCCCTCCAGTAGTTCCTTGTCTCCTTTGAGCTGAGGAGTCCAGAACTCGACACAATACTCCAGATGTGGCCTCACTAAGGCAGGGTAGAGGGAGAGGAGAACCTCCCTCAACTTACTGGCCGCACTCTTCGTGCACCCGAGGATGCCATTGGCCTTGGCTATAAGAGCACACTGCTGGCTTGTGGTGAACTTGTCTGCTAGGACTCCAAGATCCTTCTCTGCAGAGCTGCTTTCCAGTAGTTCAACCCCTCACCTGTAGTGCTACATCACAGCTGGTTAGAAGGAGGCTTTACACAATGTGCAGCAAGAGTATGTTTTGCATGGGAAAATGTAAAATACCTCATGATGAAGATGAGGAAATGTAGTAGCTGCCTTGTCCCTTTCATGGGACCTTTTATTTCTACTTGCACATCTCCAAGCTTGAGAAGTCATGACTTAAACAGAAAAAAAAAACCACCAAATTTTGAAAGGTTGCTTTTTGCTGTTTTGTCTGTGGTTATGTCCTGTGGCAGAGGCTTGATATCTTTTACTTTGAGGCTGGTGTTATTATTTGGGTAGAGTAGTAGTGAATGTTCCCCTTTTCCCCAGGCAGGATTTCTGTTGTTTCTTTTTTGTTGGTGGCACCACAGTCCCCTCAAGGCAGCTGAAGTGTGAACTGTTGCCACAAAGCAAAGTCCTGCTCTTTGCCTTTCCTTGGGTGCATGCTCCCAGTCCCTCCTCTGGTGCAGCCACTCCTATACCTAGGTGAGGAGCAGGTTCTGGAAACCAGTCTGGCTGAAACCTGGTTATTTTTTGCTTAGTAGTTTCCAGCTCTGTTGGTCCCAGAATCAAGCTGATCACACAGTGCTGTAAATGCTTGTGCTGCTGTGGAAACTGTGCCTGGAAGGAAGAAATTGGGAACCTGTGTTCCTTCTGGGGACAGCCTCCGCGTCAATTGGCTTAAAGCAGTCATGGAATTTCATTTTTAGCAGTGTGAGTGATAGAAGTGATGCTACTTTGAGCATACCAGTCACTAGCCGAGGGAAAGCCTTGAGCCCCTAAGTTTGGGCATTGGTGGTGGCACCTTTGTGAGCTGCTCCATGCAGCATCAACTAGAGGCTGCCTAGGAATTGGTTTGAGAAGAATTCAGCTGCCTCCTCTCTTGCCTTACAGGCGAGAGATGTGACTTGCAGTTGTGCTGCTGGGTCTGAACTCTATAGCAACCTCCCTGTGTGCAGAGCTCATTCAGCCCTAGCAGAAATCTGATTAATCTTTTAAGTCAGTAGCTCCTAACGGTGCTTTAGAATGAACATGTCCCACCCAAGTCAGGGATATTAGATTTTCATCAGATGTATCTTTAATCAATGTGAGTTTATTTTCTGTTAAACCAAGCATATGTCTTTCAGGGTCTGGTATCCAGTATTTGCATGAGAACAGAATTATACACCGAGATTTAAAGCCTGAAAATATTGTTCTTCAGGATGAAGGGGGGAAGGTAAGTCAGATGGCCTCCATTTGTGGTGTTCCCACTGTCAGTTCTGAAAGTTGTCAGCAGCTTTGTCTTGCCTGAGAGAAATAAAAGAGAACAAGTAGTTTGGCAGGTTTTGTCCTCTGAATTTGCTCTTCTGGTGAACTATTTAAACTGTCTACAGATTGTTCACAAAATAATAGACCTGGGATATGCAAAGGATCTGGATCAAGGAAGTTTATGCACTTCGTTTGTTGGAACATTACAATATTTGGTAAGACTTGCTTTTTTTCATGTGTACAAGTGACATGGCATTGCCACATTTTGTAGAATCGCAGAAGCATGTGTCAGAAGGAACCTACAGAGGTCCCTTGTCCAGCCTCCTGCTTGCAGCAGGACTGTCACCAGCACTAGGTCAGAGTGGCCATGGCTTGGCCCAGCCATACCCTGGTCCTGCACCTTCCTGGGATTCTGTCCCAGGGGTGTTCCCTCTCCAGGGGAAGAAGTGTTTCCTCATGTCCAACCTAAACCTCCTAGACCATGGTCTGGGGCCGGTGCCCTCATTGTATCACCTGTGGCTTACAGGATGAATTTGGCCCTGTCCATCCCCTCCACCTCTTCCTGTGCCATGGCTGGGGGCTGCTCTCAGCCTGCTCCCCTATTCAGCCTCGCTGGAAACAGGCCCAACAAGCCTAGGTCCTTCCCATCACCTCACAGACTGAGTGCTTCAGGCCCTGACCCACTGGGGGTCCCTGTGCTGATCTGGAACTGGGGGATACGTCTGTGTGCAGTTTTGTCTGCAGAAATGCAAGAAAACAGATGACCTGAAATACTGCTTTCAAGGTGTCTTTTTGTGATCCTTTTTAGGCTCCAGAACTCTTTGAGAATAAATCCTACTCGGTTACTGTTGATTACTGGAGCTTTGGAACAATGGTGTTTGAATGCATTGCAGGATTTAGACCTTTCTTACATAATCTACAGCCATTTACCTGGTAAGAGACTTACTCTGCAAGAGGTTATGCCAAGCAATAGGAGTGACAGCATCAATCAGAATGATAATTTTAGTGTTAATTTAAGTGCTGAGGCTGGTGGTGCTAAGCAGTGCAGAAGCCACTGGTATTTTAGTGATTTCAATGACAGCTCAATTGCCTACTTATACATACTGTAGTACATGCTTGTTAAATTGTGTAGTAGCCTCTGGTCAGGAGATTCTTTCACAGGTGAAATTTGAATGCAAAAATATAAATTAGTCTGTGTATCAGTGTCAGAAAAAGGTACTGAGGAGGAATGATACTGTCCTTTGTTCACCTCATCTATGAGGTGACTTACTTTTAGCAATAACACAAGCAAGACAGAGCATGTTTTGTCATAAACCCATAGTTATGTGTTTAACTTTACAAGTCATGACTGAAAGACTTCAACCTGCATATGGAGGATTCTGCTTGCTCTCTGGGAGCTTTCTCCCAACATTTCCCTATCCACTAGACCATAGCCTCAGGTGCTGCATCCACTCATTTTTAAACACCTCCAGGGATGGTGACTCCACCACCTCCCTGGGCAGCTCGTTCCAGTGCCTCAGCACTCGCTCAGTGAAGAAATTCTTCCTAATATCCAATCAAAACCTTTCCTGGCACAACTTGAGGCCATTTCCTTTTATCCTATCATCAGTAATTTGGGAGAAAAGAGCAACACCAGCCTCACTATAACCTCCTTTTAGGTAGTTGTAGAGAGCAATAAGGTCACCTCTCAGTCTCCTTGTCTCCAGACTAAACAAGCACAGTTCCCTCAGCTGGTCTCCATAAGGCATGTTTTCCAGCCCTCTCACCAGCCTCGTTGCCCTTCTCTGGACCCTCTCCAGCACCTCCATGTCCTTCTGATCCTGTGGTGCCCAAAACTGAACACAGTACTCAAGGTGTGGTCTCACCAGTGCCGAGTCCAGGGGCACGATCACCTCCCTGCTCCTGCTGGTCACACCATTTCTGATCCAGGCCAGGATGCTGCTGGCCTTCTTGGCCACCTGGGCACACTGCTGGCTCATGTTCAGCTGGCTGTCCACCAACACCCCCAGGTCCTAAAAAAAGCAGGCGGTTCCCAGCCACTTTTCCCCCATCCTGGAGCATTGCAGGGGCTTGTTGTGTTAAACCTCATACAAGTGACCCTTGGCCTTGTTAAACCTCATACAG